GTTGAATTTCAAACATGAAGTAAGATGTTTCAGCACCGGTTCGTCTGAAATTCAGACACGTTTTCATTTTATTCAGACGTTTTTAGTGCCTGAAAAATGTGTAGAAAAGGTGTGTGAAATTCATACATTCGCTTTTACTGTGATATTACACTTTTATTTTTTCTATTAAGTTTCTATTATGTTTTACGATAGCTTAAGATGTTCTCAAAAAACTCTGTCCGAATGAAATCGACTGAATCTATTTCATCAAGTTACAATTCAACAGAAATCTCACAGAACTTCATTATTGAACAACTCTTAATTTCATTTCTGTTCAATTATTCCATAAAATTCATATAAATTAAAAAACTTCAGCTAAATACGTGAGTTCTCGACTAATTTAAAATTCTGCGAAATTTGCTGCTCAAAACTTCGAAATTAGTAATTTTTAAAAGCAGTTTACCTTAAATTAATGAAACTTCACAAATTTTTCTTAAAATTAAAAAATTATTTTTAATTCTCAATTATTATTAAACAATCAATTCTAAATTTCCGAATTTGATTGTTCGATTAATCAAAATAACCGTCAATCTTGAAAAATTACTCACAGATTTAAAAAAGATTTGAAAATGTGAAAACTCGATTGAAATAAAAAATTGCACAATATAATTAACTGCTTTAGTATGTCGCGAAATAATTTTAATTCTGCATTAAATAAATCCTGAAACTTCAATTTTCCCCCGTGAAAAAACCCTCAAACAATTTTACTTCTCCTCACAACTTTACTAAAATGAAATCATCACTCGCAGGGCAAAAAAAAAATAGACACGAATGAATTTCACAATCCCGGAAGATGTGAGTAGGATTGGGGAGGAGGTTTAATCAGGTGGGCGGAGCTACTGTAAACCGCATTAAACCGTCGTCCCGACTGGCGATTGGTTCATTTGCTATATTAAAAGGTGAGAGTAAAAACTAGCTACCCATTTCCCGTGATAATTATGTCGCCCATGTAGACTGGCTGCACCGAAGTAAACCCGTCCCGAGGAGTCCCAGGTAACTGCGTAATGGAGTAAAACTCGCGGTGGTATTATGCTCATAAACCACACGATCATCCCACACGAGCCCCACCTGTCAGTGTGCGCCGACGAGGAGGAGAGGAGAAAAAAAAATGTACACGCGAGACATTCCGCGGGGAGCAGAACGGAACAGAACAGACGAGTAATATTGCAAAATTATGGTACGCTGGAATTGCCGGTCTGAGATAACGTCCTCGAAATTCCTGCTATTGAAAAGTCAATGAGCAACTGGGATCAATATTAATGCGATCATATTACGGTGGGAATAATTATGGAAATTGTGTATATCCCTGTGGTATACCGTTGGACCGTTAAAATGTACATTAGTCAAACAATTAAGAGCGCGTAATGGAATACGTCACATAAATAATAAAGCGAGACACAAGTGGTTGTCGTTTATCTCATCCGGTCTTGTACATTCATCAGTAAGTTGTGGTTCAGGGTTGAGAGGAAATTATGGTGCTTTGATTTTTTTTTGGTTCAGAGGATTTTATTGTGAGTAGAAGAATTAATTTTGTGAAGATTAACAGAATATTTCAATATAATGATTTTTTATTTTATTGATTTAACATTATAGGAAATTCCTCGAACGTCGGCTTATGTAATATAACAAAATTATTTATTGGTATATTTATTTATTTATATTTCTTCATTTTTATGAAGTTCTAAAAAATGAAGCGTTGTGTCTAAATTTTGGTGATTTGATTTCGTTTTTATTTTTTGAGTCGGAGAATTTTATTACGAGTAGAAGAATCAATTTTACGAAAGTTGATAGGATATTTCAATATATTTTTGAAGATACATATAATTTTTACTTTGTCTATTTTAAAATACATCAAATTTTCTCGAAAATTATCGGGAAAATTCACGTAATATGATCAAATTTACTGAAACTATAAACAAAAACCTCAAAAATGAAGTATTATTTTTAAATTTCATCCAAGAAAAAATTGAAAGAAATTTTGAGAAAATAATAAACAATGTAATTGACATGAAATTTGAATTAAATTTTTCACTTTCAAAAAAAAAAAAAATTTCACTTCCGTTGTTAAATATCCTCACCTACAAGATACAATAAAATTTCATTCAAATGCCAATGAATTTACATATCACCGAGCTCGTACAATCATAAAAAAAGTAGGAGGGTATTCTCAAACACATGAATTAGCATAACACCGGTGATGGTAAGACAGCACGTGGGGTATCTGCGATCGAATGAATATAATGAGACATCGATTTTATGCATTAAGTCAAGTGATACCTTCCAGTCGATCCCCCCGCCCAATTTTCAATCACAATCACACCTCGGTGAATCATCTGCATTAATACCCCTGAACAATGTATGAAATTCAGCGAATGTTCTTTTTTTTCACCACAAAATCGAGGGGACATAATAAATTAAATTGTCCGGCTAAACATGTGTGAAGTGAAAATGTGACGGGGGCGAAGGGCTTAAGACAGTCTATTCACTCGCATAATGTAGGTATTACATCCCATACAATGCCCTGTGCACAGTACATATGCATCGGGCGAGTTATATGAATGAATGTGGCGCCAAAAGAGAATGGAGTGCGTCTGATCCCTGGGCCTACGCACAAACTCGAGTCAAGAGTAAAATCTACGAACGTTTTATGGTGAAAATAAAAAAATACGGGGGATTGCAAAAATTTTGGTTCAGATAAGCCGTTCAATTTCCATCTATTTCGTCATACTTCAGTTTCAAAGGAATTGATACTATTCATCATTTCGCTATGTCACTTGTGACAAAACATGAGAGAATAATTTTTTCATAAAAGTTAACATAAAACACATGAAAATAAATATGAAGAAATTTCTCAATGTCGAAAACGTCCCGCGGAAAAAAATATAACAAGGAATGGATCAATTTATTTCCTCTGCAATAGTAAATGCAGCCAATTGTGCAATTGTTAATTAAAGTGATCATGTAATCGTGATGCTGTTTTGTAATTAATCAATTGAGTCGTGGTGCATTGGGTATGGGATGCAACTAATCGTGCAACGAACCCGATTAGGATTTGATTGTCCAGCTCAATTGCACCTCTTTTTTTCCTCCATTGTCATCACAACAATTCCGTCAACTAATTAACGCAATTTCACGACATCTCCATCATTAAAGCGCACGGCCACCATGCACGTCAATTCTAAAGATTTTCATTCGTCGTTTTTCTTCGGTTGTGAAATGTTTGTTCAGCTTAATTACTAATTAAGCCGTAAATGGTGATGGGTCTCAAATATGATTTTCCGTTCGAGTGGCGCTTCTTCCCGGTTTTACGATCAAAAACTCATTGCACGGTTCGTAATTTATGGGGTTTCAGATGCCTCGAGAGGTTGATTCTATTAAATAAGTAACTGTTTTCAGGGAACATGCGAGGATGTTCACACGATGAGTTATTTATATAATGTCATTCGTTGTTTTACGGTTGAAGATTCACTCGTGTGAATCATTTGAGTTCATGTAATCATTCGAGAATAATTCCATATTCATCTGCTACGCACGATAATATCGCTGAGTAGAACAGAAAATAAAAAAATCAAAAAGTAATTGTTATTCATTAACCAAATATTAAAAATATATAATTAATTAATTAAATTTTCTTGCGACATCTATTCACAACTCCGTGAGATCCCTCGTGGGAATTACCACCGACTGTTGGTCGCCGAAATTCCTACACTATCGACTGATCATATGTTACCGACTGATGGTAACTAATATAGAAACATCTGATGGCTTCATAAAAAATGAAGAGGATTTTATATTCAATAAAAATCAGAAGACCGAAAGGTACATTAAACATGAATAATGAATTATATTTTCTCTCTACATGATAAGAAATGTCAATTAATAATACTTCATAACGTACTCGCATATTTGCCCCCGTTTCCATAATTAAATTGCATTCCATCACAGAATTGAATTTCCCATAAAACAACATTATCTAGTAAAAATAAATACCAAAATTCATAACATCATACATTCAGAGAAGCTACAACAATCGAAAGTACATCACCCATCGACGAATAATCTTGCCAGGCGACTGTGTTGACTAGAGCGTACATCGTAAATTCTATAATCCACATGAATAAAAAATATTAAAAATTACAAAAATAGACACTAATGTTCCTGACTTGGGTGAAAGCACAGAGTGTCGGGCGACAATGAAGGCTCACCTGTGATGCTCACGCTCCACTTTACGAGACATTTCGATTCAATCTCAAGCAATGACTCACATTTTATCACGAAATATAATCTCAGACTTCGCCCAGCTTCATTATCTCTATCAGAATCGCATTATCCATTTGTCGATTTCAAAACTCTCGTCGTGCTTTCAAATCCAATTTAGAAGCAGTCATCGTGGACATGGGAAACCGCAATTTTTGTATTTATTATTTTGAGAATACACATGTGGGACAGTCTCTGCAATCGAGTAATTGCAATGATTGACAGTTGACATTTCTCATTTTTAAAGCATCCGGGGTTTTGTGAGAACTTTCTATCCCGCTCACTTTTCAGTTATACTAGAGCACAATATTGAGAATTTTCCACTGAAATTTCCGATGTTTTGGGAATTTTTAACAAAATAACATGTTCGCTAAAATTGTAAGGAATTTTGTCATTGAAAATTCATAATTTCATGGAAAAATCGGTGGGAGCTGTGAATTTCAGTTTAATTATTTCACGAAAGTTGATGAAAAATCAGGAAAATTCAGAGAAATTTCTTCTTGAATTGCAGATTCCGATGAATTTTCATAAAATGCCTCAAAAAAGCCTGGAATTCCAGGAATTTCAAAAGAATTCCCCGAAAATTCAAGGGAATTTGGCAGCGAATATTCATTTTCACTTACAAATTCATGTAAATTATGCTATTTCCGTTTTCCTGCCGCAAAAAATTGGGATTTGAATTGAATTTTTAGACAAACTTGAAATTCCATTGACTTCTTCCCCTCAATTGCCTTCAAGATCTTTTTCCGAAAAATTCAGCCAAATTTTATTAACGATACACCATTAGTTGGAAAGTGAAAATATACTCATTGCCTTAAGATGATGAGTGTACAATACAATATTCATTACGGTATCTACATTTTCCTTAATGACCACATAGCTGCGCATTACTTGGTCATTCCAAGAAAAATACTTATTTCCTCAGTAGAAAATCAATAGTGAAGTCTCTCGTATATCCTATGCCTATACCTATTGACATCAGCGCCTTGTTTTCAAATTACAGATGTACATGACCTGAAAAATCAGGATTTATCTGGTTCCAAATTTCGATAATGTTTTTTAAATGGTGTACGCTCAAATGCATTTGACATTGAGCCTTGATATGGTACTTTAAATCGTTCTTCATGTTGATAAAATTATCGCCTCGATGGCTGCAGGCAACATTGCAACATTGTCGCTTAATATCGCTATAAACATCGCAATGTGTTACTGGCTACACCACTGAAAAATTCTAACGCACACACTTGAAAAGTCTATTATCACAATCAAATAGATTGTTTCCCATTGAATCCCTCATTTTCCATTCTACATTCCCCTGAAATTTCTAAGCAAATTACTCACTCGGTCATTAGCGAAATGGATAAGATGCAGAACAATAAAGAACTGAAGGCTAGAGCGAATTCTGTACCCTCCAATCAATCCCTAAATGTTCTTCTTATCATCGCAGCTACTATCCCACTTACTCATCCTCAAACAATAACTACCTCAAGAGGAGTTCCAGTCCTCAACGAGTCTCCCAACCCTCTCCATCATTTCACCTACCACTTCATACTCATTACGCTTTCACCATCGAGTGCTTGAGAATAAAGGCCCATAAATCGTGTCACCTCAGTTGAGTCCCACATTATTTCAGAATATCAAAAATTTTGTACTTGAATCCTTCAGAATACGGAGTCACTCTCAGTCTCCCTGACATCCCCCTCAACATATCTCTCCTGCATCTGCAATCCCCCATTCTGCCTAATTTTCATTTCACAAGGTTGCAGATTCACATACCGTGGAATGTCTTCAGGTTTAATATTAATCGGTGGAAATAGTCTCGAAGGCTCGCCAGAAAACAGCGGCATTGAGCCGTCGTGCACCGCAACCATAGGATCCACACTGTCATTAGAGTCGTGATGAATATCCAGAAGTGGAGTATTAGTCGGATCGGAGGATATGCGACTCGAGGAGTTTGACGCGGCCTCCTGTCTCTTGGATAGCGGCCAGGACAGCTGCAACGAGAACTTAGTGATGTTGTCGTGCAGGGGATAGTCAAGTTGCCTGGAGTTCTCTAACTGTACACTGGCAAGAGGTACGTCTAGGCAAGGGCACAAAGCTCTCGGGTTCGTGGCTAAGAAGTCCACGATTTCAGGAGCTGTCGGTCGCTTCGAATGATCAACAGCCCAACAGGACTTAATCAATCCTTCTAGGGTAAGCTTCACACCCTTCGGAACGCACAAAGAGTTCCCCGCTTTGACATGCACCAGCACTTCGTTGTTACTCATCCCCTGGAAAGGAAAACTCCCGAAGGTGATGATCTCGTAAAGGAGAACCCCATAGGACCAGACATCGGAGGCCGGTGTGAAGATGCCGAGCCCAAGGGACTCGGGTGCCATCCAGCGAACGGGCAGCATTCCCTTCCTGTTGAACTTATAGTAATCGTTCTCGTACATGGGTCGAGTCATGCCAAAGTCCCCGAGTTTGACGACGCGCTGAGCATTCACGAGGCAATTGCGAGAGGCTACATCCCTGTGAACGTACTTCAGCTGGGCCAAGTAGCTCAAAGCTCTCGCCACGTCCAGCGCCATCGCCGTCAGCCTTTTGTTCGATATCTCGTCGGAATCTTCGTAGTTCTGGTCGTTGACCAAATGCCTCCTGGCGAGTAGATAAGTCTTCAAATCGCCATAGAGCATGAACTCCATGACCGTCAGTACCGGCGCTGACTTGATGCAGACACCCAACAGTTTTATGATATTCTTGTGCTCAAATCGCTTCATCACTTCGACTTCGCTGAGGAAGTCCAGCTTCTCCTCGGTTGAGCTGCCTGATTTCAATGTCTTAACGGCAACCGCCAGCCATCCCTTCTCGGGGAAGAATGTCTCGCCACCGTACACTGTGCCAAAAGCACCTTCCCCGAGCTTACGATTAATCACCACCCGATCACGTGGGATTTCCCACTTGTCCAAACCGCAAGTTGTGTTCCGTGGATCGAGACCAAATGACTCCATCACCTTCTCGTGCTGGCGCACCTTCGCGTCGTATTTACGCTTCACTATTATGAAACCTGTTATGAGGAAGGCCATTAGGAAGCTCAGACCTATGATATTGGCGATTACTATGGCGACCTCGCAGGAGACGTCCAGGTGCTCGGCTATGCTTCCTAGCACACAGCGGGCCGGCGGCTCTGATCCGTCATCGGGGATGGAGTTTGATAGCCAGACGATTGCGGACATGTTGAGGGTCAAGTTGCCACCGATTACTTCGTTCTTCTCGAGGGATACTTCGGGGTAGAACGTGCCGATCGTTCGGGTTTTGTTGTCTATTCGTTGGAAGAATTTTACTGTGGTGAGGCGGGACGTACTGCCGTAGAATTTCACGTTTCCGGATACCTGTGGAGATGAAGACGTGGATTAGATTGAAACTTGCGATCAAATACCAAAAAATTGCACGCGGCTGTATCTTTATTGTCTGTTATATTTACCCCGTTAAAATCAGACTCAGCAATAATATCAGTCAATCGATTGACTGTCTTCTCCGAGTGAAGATCAAACACGTAGCTCTGATTCTCTTTGATAAGCCGATCCAATGCGTATGCATACATCCACACTGAGTCGTAAGCATAGCTGGCGTAAAGGGATGGCGCCTCGTTGTTCTTCCGGCATCTTTGTTCATACCTATCTCGCCAATCCCTCACTGTTAATCCTGTTTGCATGATGTCCTCGTCGGGCGCAAAGCGTGCATGGAAGATTGTAAAGTGGCCGTCGATAGCTACCAACATCTCTGCTGTCGTACAAGGGACATCTTCGTGGTTGTAAATGTTGTAATAGTCTGTGTCATACCAATTGGCTTCAAGCCAAAGAGGCAGAAACCATACGTAGCCCTGAGGGAATGCGGAACCAATCAGTAATTTAAAATAAAAAATTGATTTCAGATTAATTGCTTTCTTCCGAAGAAAGTGAGCAATTTGTAACAATACATTACCTTCGCCGGTAACATCTCCAATTTGTAAGCCTGACACATGACCTGCCTGGTCAATCTATCGTAAACATCGGCAATGATAATCCGTGCACGTTTGCTCTTGAAATCCTCCAGATACTGCGTTATCTGATATCGCTCCCACTCCCTCGGATACTTAATATTAGCGATAAAATCAATTTCATTATCTCTCAGCAAGTCCTGCATGTAAGCTAGGTACTCAGTGTACTTTTGCCCATCCTCAGAAAGTGCCGCAACACGTTTCCATCCGAAAGCCTTCAACAATTGCAAGTAAACATAACGATAGTCCATGTTACCACCAACTGTTCTGAAGAAGTACGGATACACGGAGCGATTGTTGCCGCTCCAGCCCTCAGCACCGTAGGTCACTATGATTGTTCTGTAATATTTGGACACACCCACAAGTGGCTCGACGGTTTCCGTACAAGCGGGACCAAGAATACCGACGAGCTTCTCGTAGGGATTGTACAGAATGAAATCGATGAATGATTTCATCACCGTTTCTGGTTTACACTCACCGTCGCTAGCGAGCAACATGATATCGTAATCCCGGAGAATTGTATTATCGGCGTTGATGGCTTCTTTGGCCATGTTCGCAGCTAGCAGAATGGACTTGGCTTTATAACCAATTCCAGACATCGGAAAAATCCCCCTGATGTAGAGTCTATTCTTGTCTGTACGATCTGGCATCCATTCTCTCAGTGTATAATTCAAATTATCCCGCAGCCAGCTGCAAGCCACATCGTCCTCTGTTCGGTTCGACATCATGTTGTATCGATCTATTAAGTCTTCGTACATGTGCGGCTGAAATCTAGCCCGACTGATCGCCTGCCAGGCTTGTTTGGCGATCAGCTCTAGCCTCGACCAAGCAAGCTTGACCAATCTATTCGTCTCGTAAGTGCAGCCAACACTAAGATCCTTGCTACCGCATCTTGGAAATTCTATGGCTACGAACTGACGCTCGTTGGGGATGACTTCGCTGGGGGTCCAGTGGAGCACGACCAGGGATTTCTTGCGGTTGTTGGGGTTCTTATTGGAGGCCTTGTATTCTTCCGTTAGAGATGTCGTCAGGTTTCGGAGGTTTGGACCGACCCAGATGACTTTGACGTACAGTTTCAGCTGGTCGATATGTTGCTTAACGACTTGCGTGATGTTCGTCTCGGATGTGAGGAGCAAGGCGCATGCCTGGCTCTTCTGCGACTCACAATAATGAGGGATGTACATGCCCTGTTTACAGAAGGACTCCTCGCAGTAGTATTCGCCAGTTGACGGATCAATTGCCGACTTTTGGATGCGTTGGAGGGTGCTGTCGTCAATGGAGAAGCGTTCCGCTGTTTTCTTCTCGGTGAATATCTTCCAGTTGTCACCGAAGTCACTCAATTCCTCGGGTACAAACCAACCAAATCTCCCAGGGGAGGTGATAGCTCCGCATTCCGTGACATCGAAGCGATTCAGAAGAGATGTGGCGTCATTCTGCGGCGGAATCCACACCTCCATGTTCACCATTGTCTCCGGGATGCGTCTGTCACCATTGGAATCGAAGCTCTCTGCCATCCTGATGAAGACTGTTATTGCGTCGAACTCGTCGTCCAGCTCTTTTAGGGTCACACCTGCGTACCCCAGGACTTCAATCAGGAATATTCTCATCACTCTTGTGGCTAGTCTCTGAGTTGTTCGGTGAGTCAACTCCAAGGGGATCAGCAGGGATTCGCCGTCGAGGTGGGCTACACGTTTTGGATTCACCTCTGTGGAGAAGATGGAGATAAAATTTATGTGATTAGTTTGAAATTTATAAGTTTATAAGTATTGAAAGAATCAAAATCCTGTATGTTTGACACATCCGAAAGGATCAGAAGTCTGATAAGGGTCACTAGAGAAATATATTATCCGAATGGCGAAATAACTGATGACAAAAGAACATCGTATTCATTTTTCTCAATTTTCTCAATTTGAACGAGACTTCATAATTCATTTAGATTGTACCTGGATAATCTTTGAGACACTGATTCGAACTCGTCGCCCGCAGGTTCCCCATGATAACCAACATAACGATGATCTTTCCATACCCCTCCATATTGACCTCCACCTGCAAGTAAAATCGATACACACCTACGTTAGTTGAATCAAAATAAGAGATAAAAACGGGAGGGAACGTTTCAATCTATGATTGCTGTGTATGTACCTGCTTATTACGGATTGATGCCCCCGGGGGAATGGGAATATTGAGTAGGCGCATAAACATGAACCGCTACATTGTTGGAAACGGATACGAATCTGAGGCCTTCATTGTTTTGAATTAATGAGAATTCAGTATTTTACATTCCTACCGATGGAAAAAATGTTTCTTCGCTCGATGCAACGGGATGTTGAGTGTTTTTCTATTATAATACAGTTATCATTGGATACTCGGGATTATTGATACTCGAATGAATTATCAATTCGTCACGTGAACCTCATAAATGTAATTTCGCCTGATCGCATTTGTGACATTCTCTCTTTATTCTTTTTACAATGGTAGATCAATGTTTTTGAATGTCAAAGAATTGGTGAAGTTATCGTGAAAAACATTGAATTTCTCACGATAAAATAATTCAAAAATCAGTACTTTATTTTCTTCCGAATGGAAAAAAATGTTTTCTGTCTTCTCGCGATACAGTTATCATACAGTTATCATTAGGTACTGGAGATTTTTAATACTCAAACGCATCATCAATTCGTCACATGATCCAGGTAAACGTAATTTCGCGTGATTGCACTTGTAGGAGATAATACGTTGGCAGTAGTATCATGCGGCATTCACAATGATAAACAGTGAAGCGTCGTGTGCGGTCGATTTGCGGAGGTATGCATATTCGTTTGAATTGGATTTAGCATGTCATTAAGAGCTGAGCGAAACACACGAGTGAAATTTTCTGCCAGTGCCTTCCTCGAGCGGAGAAGTCTTCAAATTACCACGCGAAATTAAGATTTTTAGTATTTTCTTTTCAAGTCTCGTTTATTCAACGGTTCAGAACACTTGTTTCTTATTTATCCATTCGTAAATCCACACTCATGTGAATTTATTGCACCTGATGTACCAGAGACGGCGATACGCGTCAGCGAAAAACAAAAGAATTCAAGAGAAAGGGAATTTCATTTTTTAATTTTTTTTATTTTTCAATTTTTGCATTGTTTCATAGTTTTATTCAATCACAGCCACTTGGATATCATTGAGAATCAGTCGTCATAGCTACTGAATATGCATTACCGCCTTTCTATCAGACTGTCACCTTGATAATGAATTTTTCTGAAATGCAAATAATTTTTTTCCTCCGATGATTAATCCGCCTTCCGCTTGCTAATGACTCTCCGCACGAGCTAATCACCAATTATTCGATGCACATGTGCGAGATGACTCAAGATTAATGCAATTAGTGCGGGCCCAGTCATTCAATCCAATTTCAACTTCCTCGTTTGTTTCCCCAGTGCTCTTAACGCTCCAGATATGGATCTGGTGAGTGGAGACAGACAAAACTTACGTTATACTTCACCCAGAAATTGCAAGAATGATTAATTCAACAGGAGGTGAATTGTCAGAGTTGAAAACAGTTCCACTTGTGACAATCATCAAATCCGCCGTGTCGTCATTGCATTGAGTATGTCTGGGAAACTTGTCGTCAAGAGTGATAAATTTTTTTTAGGTATTTTTTCAGTGAATTGTTAATGATGGCCTTCGATATGGCCTTCGAGGAGTTGTTAAATAATTAATTATTCAGTTGTGGAATTAAATAATGGCGAGAGTTCACTCGCGAAAGTTTTAACAATTTAAATAAATTCATGAACGAAAAAAATCGTGGAAAAATCCAGCAAATCAGCTGGAAAACTCTTGTGGATTTCTATTATTTCGTAGTTATTGACCTCTGCGGTCATTAGCTTATTCGAACATAATGAAATTTAAGTTTAAATGACAATCAAATTTTATCTTTTGGACATTCCAAATTTTATCACTTTCGAGTCAGCTGATGACCGCAGAGGTCAATGACTACGAATCGTTGGATTTCTACTGAATTTTCTATTAGTTTTTGTCTGCGAGTTCTTTTTCAATAGAAATGGTGAAACAAAAGCGGCATAATGCAATTATTCAATTGCAGAATTAATTTTGGAAAATTTTAAAATATCATGGAAAAACCAGACAAATTAGCTGGAAAATTCTGTTGGTTTGTTGTTGGTTTGTTGTTATTGGCTTCTGCGCCCATTAGCTTATTCGAAGATGATGAAATTTATGTTTAAATGGCTTGATCAATTTTTATCATTTGAACGTCCCAAATATCTTCGAATCAGCTAATGACCGCAGAGGCCAATGACTACAAAACAATCATCAGATTTCTATTGAACTTTTTTTAGTTTTTGGTCGATTCTATTTAAAAATTCTGCATTCTATTTGCGAGTTTTTTTTCTATAGAAATGTTGAAACAAAAACAAACTATTTTGTCACAACAGTTTAAAAATTACTTAAGAGATGAATAAGAAGTTTTGCAGGTGCTTCTAGAAATTTTGATAGATAATTGAAACAGGATTCTCAATTATAACTGCATTTGCGTGATCGATGGAATTATTCCATCGATTAAGTTTCATATTTTCCACATGTGACCACTTGCGTCTACTATTCATACTTGTTTACATTTTTTTGTTTTCAATACTTTAAATGTTCAATGAAAAAAAATATTCTATAACAAAAATCAATGGAATTCGATTTTTCTATAGAAATTCTTCAGTTCAAATTTTTTTTGGTATAATTTTCTTCTATGAGGAAAGAAAAATAGAGTGGAAAAAGCGTAGAAAATCCATGTTGAGGAATTCCGATAGAAAATGTCACGATAGAAAAAGCTGTATAGAAAGATGAAATTCTACAGATTTTTTCCCTAAAATACCTTCTACTGAAAATTTTCCGCAAAAAAAAATCGCAGTGAAACAGCGAAATTTTTTATTAGAATGGGCCAAAAACTAATAGAACTTTCCATCGAATTCGAAGAATTTGGTACTGATTTAGAATAAAAACGACCCATTGTACCCCAACATTTTAAAACAGTCTAAAATTACTCAAAAACCGAATAAAATGATTCGAATTTTAACACAAGAATCCACAAGAATTATCCGCAAGAATTTTAATAATAAAATAGTTTTTCACGTGCATTCCAGAAATTTCTACAGACAATTGAAACCCGAATTTCAATGATAATGGCATCTGCGTGTTGAAAGGAATTGTCCTATCGATTCAACATCATATTTTTTCACATGTCCCCAATTACGTCTATTATTCATATTTGTTTACGTTCCCTGATGTCGCATGTGGGCACATTATGAACTTCTTTCCTACGCAACTGGAGAATTCGCCATCCATAATTCACCGCCAACTTTCACCTCACCAATTGACAGATACTCAACATCGGATACAGCGACATTGACTCATAGACTGAGCCTCTCAATACGTTGCAATTACATGAGTATCCCGGACGGTCAATGTCAACTGAATTAATGAAAGTTTTACCGACGTAATCAGGGAACGTGCCCTCCTGTGGCTACTTGTGGGGGATATTTATACAGAGAATAAACTGATCCTTTTTCGTCCCACGGGGGAGGGTGTCTCAAGGTTGTCTCAGTATTGAACACATTCCAAGGGTGACGAGACGTTCCGGCGCCCTTGTGAGGATGCCAGGTACTCTATTGAATTTATTCAACTGTTATCATGTGAATACAGGGGGGGGATAATGCGATTTTCACGCGATTCTTCGAATTTTACTATTTTTAGACATACAATGGATTATTTATTCATCTCTGATTTTAAAAATAACACTGTTAGAAAAAAAGTGAATTTTAATGGACAATGGATTCTTGATTTTCAGAAGAGCGACATTGAACTCGATTCAGTGGGGAAAAAAATGAAAAAATATCCTGATTTTTTATTGGAAGTGAATGAAATTTATTTGCATCAAATAAATGGATACATTCAAATTTGAATTTCATTTTCGTTTGGGTTTTTATTTACATAAAATGAATCGTTTTTAAAACATAAAAAATTAATGACAATAAGAAAACTTTATTGAGAACAAATGAATTATTTATTTCATATTATTAGAGTATTTTGATATTATTCATTGTTCACAGCTGTTTTATTTTTCTCTAGCTTTTTGAGTAAATAAACTTAATATGGATTAAATGAATGAATTTATTCAGATATTATTTATTAAAATTCGAATTTGATTTTTATCCACATCAAATTAATAATTTTTCAAACAAACAAATGTTTTCTTCATCCAAATAAAAACTTCATCACGAACTAATGAATTATTCACTTTATGTAATAAAAAAATCCCACTGAAATGACTATAATAATTTAAATAGACTTCTATTCAACAATACAAATATCCACAACATAAAATTATCATAGTCAATGTCCCTCATCTATTCATTCCAAATCCTGCACATCCCCTTCCGATTGAATAATATTTCAACCCATCCCTCAATACATCACGTTATTCCCCCGGATAGACAAAACCAAGTCCACATGACCCCGGTGCCTTTACAAATGTTTCGACAGGTGTATAAACGTCGCCATATCTTGTGTACTCTCCAGCGCATGTTTTGTTTGTTTTCGGGAATTGAGGGAGAGACCGCCGCTTCTGGTGGCATCCAAAATTTATTTCTGTCCTTTCCGCCGTAGATACGCCCGTAGATACGGTGACGTCGGGTGTCGACGTTCTTCCCCCAATGTATCCAAAAAATTCCTAGTTCTCTTCATTTAACGGGCTCTGCTTGTGACGGAGTCACGTTGCTCCTTCCCTCCTCATTCTCATCATCAACTTGTCTAAATTCGTCAGAAAACACTGTCAATTATCTCAACATTATCCGGAAAATAATATTTCTCTGAATGAACGAAAATATGATGTTAACTCTTTTATCGTGTATACATTAGCATCTTTTTTTAAATGCTTTATCAGCATTCATTGACGTCTTTGGCATTCATTATTAGTGTTTCTGGTTATCAAACAGTTGGTCTAGGATTCATAATCGTCAAGACTTTTTATTCTCGATAAAAATTACTTTTTG